TAGAAATGTGGCTAGGTTGTGGTCAATGGAATATAAGGGGAAGCCTGGGGGCTTCTGGAAAGATTTTCCTCCTGATTACAAACGAAACAAACAAAGAGAAAGCTCTTTCTTCCCTCCATCTGGACTCATGAATTTAGATATGATTTCTGGAATTCTAGTAGCCATTTGTGTCCATGACCTGCTAGAGAAGAACAGAAGCAAACAATGTTGAGCATGATGAAAATGAAAAGGTCTTGAGTTTTTCATGGTACTACATGGTACTATAGTTACTATACCAACTCTACCACATTCTGCTTCATGACTGAGCACCATATTTTTTCCTGAAATTTTATGAATTTTCCGATCACTTACATAGCTAAATAACTTTGGGAGTACAACTGCATACCTCAATATGTGCACATGCTTCATTCACCCTTCACCAAAGCTCCAGTGCCAGTGCCCTATCTCTTTCCCCCCATTCCCTGAGCTAAGCAGTGTATTTTTCACAGAGTCTAAGAATTAATTTTGTTGTGTTTTGCCAGTTTGTTTCCTTTGGTAAATAACTGCAAATCAGGGAAACTATCCAGTAATTGTCCTTCAGTAGACTGAGCACATAGATGCCCTTATGTTTTAAGTCATTCATACTCAAACATTTTGTTATTTGTCTTGAAAGTGTTCTTATTGACATACTCTTCCACCATTACCACAGAAACTTTGTCTGTCTCATTCAATGCTGGAGCCTCCAGAATGAGAACAACATCTGACAGGTAGGAGGCATTCAAAGAATATTTGTTGAATGAGTGTACGGATGAATGAAAGTCCGGTATGCATGTCTGCTCTGCAATTTTTTTAGGTTCTTTTGCCTCAGTCTTCTATTTAACATAAGTTCTTTTGTCTCAGATGCATTTCCACTCCATTCTTTTTTATAACTTCACCTACCCCCACTTCCTAGCCTGCTCTTCCTCTACTCTCCACATCCTTCTGGCTCACCATAGTGTAGGCTCAGACTCAGCAAAACACCTGACTGTGTGTCATTCCATGAACTCCACTTTGTCCTCTGGTTTGCACTCTGTACCTTCGAAGCCCACATCCAATAGCATTTTCCTGGACGAACCAACTCTGATCTTACTATAACTCTTGCTTTTCTCGTGGCCTTGGTCACATTCTCCCTTGCATTTTTTTCATAAGCCAACTTTTGTCTCTTTCCTGCAGTATTATAAACACATTAAGAACTGGATCCAGGTCCTTCTTTTATTAATGCCCCTGCAAAGTATCAAATCATTACTATAAAAGCACAGCTAAGTGAATTTCTGGTGAATGGGTAGTGACTAAGCCATGGCCTTTTGGAAACAGACAAACCAGAGCACATGTCTGCCAGTTGCTTTCTGTATTTACCGCAGGGAAGTCACCTAACTTCTCAAGGCCTTAAGTTCTCTATTTACAAAATAAAGAATAATAGTATTTACCTTATCAGATTGTTGAGTATCAGAAAGAAATATATGCTTGTAGAATATTTGACACAGAGCCCAGCAGAGAGTAAATACTCATTTAATAGTTGCTATTATTATTACTAGGTACTTTTATTTTTTTATTTTTTTTTTTTTAGAGGCATGTATTTTTTTTATTTATGATTTATTTATTTGTTTGTTTGTTTTTTGTTTATACATGCACTGGGTACAGTCAGAAGCGCGGGAGGGTGAGAGAATTCACCAGAGCCAGAGCAGGGAGCAGAGCAGGCAGAAGGACCGAAGTACACTGCTGAGGGGAGCAGCGGGCGGCAGGAGAGGTCTGCGCACCATGTGGGACCCTCCTCCGGTGGCCGGGGAGCAGCCGGGGATCGAACCGGCGCCGCAGAGGCCGCGGGCAGCTTCGCAACCCAGCGCACAACCGCTGCGCCACCGGGGAGGCCCTATTACTAGGTACTTTTAAATGAATGTTTATATTCATGAGGACAGTCAAGATTAGTATTCTCATAGGTAATTAGAAACCATGTCTAACAGACTATGCTGGCATGTTAGGATTTTACACACAACATACACCACACACACACACACTTCTATCTGGATCCATACAGCTATGATGTCAAGAGTTATTGCTTTCAGTGGGTGTAAGGTACTTGCATATATGAGCTATGGATCTTGTTATATACATACATAGGAATTTTCTACTTTCAAAATGTTATAGCAGGGACTCTAGCAGACTGATAATAACCCTGAAGCCATTTGTTTGTTTGGAAAAGTAGCTAAGAGGAAGTAGAGTCCACATTTCCACTTGTATATTAATGATGTTAGCGTGCCTAAATTTGGAAAATGTAATGTTCAGGTCAGGACTCCTGGTCACTAACCTCAAAAATGGTCTCTAGTTAATTAAAGCAGAAAGGAATGTATTGGCAGGATACTGGTGGGTGTGGTGAGGGGGGTAGGACAGCTCACGGAATCGTCAGGAAAGTTGGGGATCCAGACTCAAAATGGTGGTAAAGAGGGGTTCAGTCAACAAGACCAGACTGCTAAGGATTCCATTATGGAAGGCCCCTGCGCCCCTAGAACAACCACCATCGTGTGGCTGGACACTGCCGTCCCCATACTGGTGGCTGTGACCTCCAGACTCCCCAGTGCCACCAGGGGGACTGATCCCTGAGTGTCTGTGGGCCTTGGCCTCTCTCCTGTATAGACATATGCTGAGCCAGGCCTCATCACAACTGTCTCTCCAGCTGCCCTGAGTTGGGGAGAGGAAGCACCTGGTCCCTTCAGGGCCTACAGTGAGGAGGCAGGTCCTGCCTCCCACCTGCCTTGGGATTACCCATCCCTCTAAGGATGTTTGGATGCTGGAAAAGTTCTATAAATACCCACTAGAGCTACCAAGAAAGAGAGAATGTGAAAATGGGACTAGAAATAAAGGGCTCAGGGATGGTCCTTTGAAAGATTTCCCACCCAGCTGACAGACACCTTCTTTTCCAAACTCTTCCCACCCTGAGTGCACATAAAATACCAGCAGGAATATTTTCATCTCTTTCTGTCTAGATAGGGATTTAAAGGAGCCCCTTTTTTTTTCTCAGCAGCTTAATGATGGCCAGTAAAGTCACCACATGTGGCACAGTGACCTTCTAAAGAGCCGGGTGATGTGATGAAAAGAGTCGTTGTTGCCAGATACCTATTGGGAGGCTCAGGAATGGTCTCTCTGGAGCCCAATGGGCGGAGGCAAAGCCTCCTTCTTGAAAGGGGCAGCAGATGGTATTCTTCGCTACCCCTGACAGAATAACGGCTGGAGGAAGCAGTGGGGCTCCATCTGGGAGACAGCCTATCTTCTGTGGCCAAGCAGTCAATGTGTTTGCAATCTTTACACTTTTCTGTGGTGCTCTTTCAGAAGGGCAGATTGTAGAAGGCTGGAAAATTCCGTCCAGGAAGCACCGCACCTTTTCATGTTACTTCAGAGCCGATAGAGTGACGATGAGAACCCGAAGGCAAAAGATAGCAGGGTGGAGTGGTGAGCATATGTGGGGAAAGCCACACGTCATTGATTGGGAGAAATGAAAAGGTGGATGGACATCAAGCTCTGCTATTTGAAATGTTGGTGGCCAAAGCGTTTATCCTCCCTCCTCCTGATCTGGCCCACAAAACTGAGCCAGAAAATGTGTTCATGACTATTTCCATGGCCCTTACTCAGCTACAAGTCATTTCCCCTCTCAGATTATTTCCATTTTAAGACTGAATTTCTATTTGATCTTCTGCTTTTAAGATATTTAGCCAATATCTTCATCGACCAAGTGCCAGATTCTCTTTCAAGGCTTTTGAACTTGTCATTTATGCTTTATCCTTGTAGGTGAATTCTGTTTGCAACTGCTGGTTCCAGATAGACAGGGTTTTCCTGAGAGAGAAGAGAAAAAGAACTTCTTAGTAAAGGTGGAGGTTAAACTGCACATTTTAAGACAGCCTCTTGTAAACATCTGTGACTGGAGTAACGATTCTGTGGAAAAGTTGTAATGTGATTATCAATATCATTTAATAAATGATGTGATACAGCTGAACATGACTGTCTCAGCATCAACGATTATGTGGAGCACCCACGAAAACTTTCTTCTAAGCTTTAAGATGAATTTACTCTTCTGTGAAATACCATTTTTTTTTAATGTTCTCAGTTTATTCTTTATCGATGTTGATAAAAAATTATTCTGGGCGTGGGTTTAGCTGACATAAAAAAGTATAAATGGCTCAATGGTTCCTGGTATATTCTAGAAAATGTGCTGATGCTTTTCTACCTTAATTTAAAAATTTTTAAGGACAAGGATTAAGAAATACTTCCCTTTGTAGTGCCACAGTATTATCCAACTAGCAGGCACTGAGCCCACACACAAAGCTACATTTACCATTTTTTTTACTAACTGTAAAGTGGTAGGTTGGCCTTACCTGTTAGTCTCCCTCTCCCATATCTACAGGAGTCAAGGACTACACATTTTTGTTTCTAAATCCGATCTAAAGTTTTCTTCTAAATGATGCAGATGAAAGCACTTATTAAAGTGCCATTGTGGAGTTAATCATGTATATGCTGCTAAAAATCATTTAATGGATGAACAACTCAGAAAAGAAGAATTCTCACCACCCACACGCATCGTGATAAAATAGGGCAGCATTTTGCACTTGCTTTAACAGCACTGCCTGAGAAGTAATTCTGATTCCCATCTTTCTCCTCTCTCTTACTTAGAATTTCAACTTCATCCCAGTCAGCTGCCAAATCGTGAAACAGAATGCCACTCTGTCTTTGTATTTCCAAAACTGTGTCATTATTGCGGACCACATCTTTGTGGCAGCCACATGCTTTGCAAAAGAATTAAATCCAGAGTATTCACTTAGCCCCTTATTATTTCCATAATACGAAAGGAAAAAAAAAATCCCTCCTTGTCCTTGTGCTGCTGTGTTTTCCCATCGTTAAGATGCTCCGTGGAAGGGAGCCGAGCGGTGGGCAGCGGCTGAGTCCCTGATAAGAAGCGCCTCACATTTCCGTGGCATTCCCATTTGCTGGTGCGCTGCTGCGGCCGCACGCCTGATTGATATATGACTGCAATGGCACTTTTCCATTTGACATTCTCTCTCTCTCTTCCTCTCTCCCTGCCTCTCTCTCTCTCTCTCTCCCTGTGTCGCTTAAACAACAGTCCTAACTTTTGTGTGTTGCAAATATAAAAGGCAAGCCATGTGACAGAGGGACAGAAGAACAAAAGCATTTGGAAGTAACAGGACCTCTTTCTAGCTCTCAGAAAAGTCTGAGAAGAAAGGAGCCTTGCGTTTCCCCCAAGGTAAGCAGGAAAACAAGCGCTGACGACTTGCCTAGGAAATTGCTTCTTTCCAAACCTAGCATTTCCTCCTCCTCTCAGACAAAGAGACAACCTTTAAATACCACTTAAATTTGCATTCATTTAATTTGCATTAATCTGTAGCATGCTAGCATTGTGTGTTTTAAATGAACGGGTCTTTGAAGTCGCTGACAGAGCAGGGGAGCCTCACACAGAGAGGTTGGAAAAATCTCTTTGGGTTTGACTTAAGAGATTTTATTTTCACTCTGCGTAGTTAGATGTAACTTTGTAATGGTTCTTATATTTGACCCTGTGGAAGGAGATTGAGAAGCAGCAACCCCCTTCGCGGACATGGATCCTTGGAGCCCCAGTATCTTCCCCACAGCCCTCATCCCACTTACAATGGGGGCACTATTAACGTGGGCAAGCCTGCGAGTTTAAAAGCGCACTGTTTACTTTTATGACTACTTATGTATGCTGCTGGTCTCCTGCCAGGGCTCTGCCGGAGTGCTGAGAATGACTTCAAACAATAGGCAACATTTATTTCTAGCTTTCTGTGTCACGCTCTGCAGAAATCCTGTTCCCCTGCACTCCTTTCCCAGCGAGCAAGGGCTTTGCTTCCATAGATGCGTCAGGAGCACTGCAGAGACAGGATGGGTTTACTATATGATTTTGATTGGGCGAAAAGTTCAAGGAAATGCATGCCTTTTGCCTTGGCCTTATTGCAAAGAGTTATTTTTAGTAGTCTGCTTGTCTCTGCAGCACCACTGATGCTACAATATCCAAGCGGAGACTGGGAAAGGATGCTCCCACCGGCTCAGGGACCAGGACCTGTAGGAATGACTCTTAGAAACACCTGAGGAACATTCCAAGGGTTCTTTCAGTGCTCTTGCATATCGTTCTCCCTTGGATGAACAATTGGGCTGTCAGAGGCCTGGGCATAACTCCCGAGGGACGGGAAGTTTGTGCATGAAATATTAATGACTCGAAACACCCTGTCACTGAGGTTCCTTGTCATTGAAGCACCCAGGTAAACCTGCATGAAAGAGGTAGACTCCTTTCTCTGCTGAGATTAGGCACAGGGATCTGGTACGATGTATGTCCCATTGTCCCATTCTTTGCAACTGGCCTTGATAACAGATAGGGACGCTGTGAAACATGTTTCTTTTCATTTCTAATATCAGAGCATTTGCATGACAAGGAGCTGGCATTGGCAAATTGTTCCAACACATAACATTGAATACCAGGTGCATTTGAAAATAGAGAGACGCCTAAGATGCAGTGATAGTTGTGGGTGTCAACCAAATACAGCGGGGACTGCAGAATGCTTCTCAACTGTGCGTTTATTCCAAATGCAAATCTTTGCCGATTTTTTTCTCATCAGTTCTTCTGAAAAGTAAACTTTAGGGGTCCTATTGACCAGTTTTCACTGTGGAACTAGGAGGCAGTTTGTGCAGAGGGCTTTGCTGATTTTCTCTAATAACTGTAACTAGCTTAACATGCATGTTGAATGAAAATCTGGCTTTTGAATGAGTATTTACAACTTTGGGATAGTCACTGGTCAAGAAAAACTGGACCAATACTGTGGATTCTATTGCTATACAATTTTACAGGATTTTTAAAAACTATCACTGTAAACAATTTAACTGAATCAAAACCATTTTCTGAAAGTATTATTTAGATTGTCATATGAGAACATCTGAACACAAAATGCGATGCTTGGCAACATTTACTTTAAAATACATTTGGTTCAGGTAAAGGGAGAATAGGCTGAGGCCTTCATGATGACTGTGTCCCAAGCAGCTGACACCCACAGATGGAAACCTGCTTGTGGAGATTTCAATCTTAATTCCAGTGCCAATGACACCGTCAAGGGGAAAATAAATCGTTTTTCAATCCATTCAACAACTTCCAACTCATTTCTTTTCCTGGGCCCTTGCAAAATGTGGCGAATTTCTTGGGAGTATAGCCACAGTGGTGGCCGGCATTTTTTTCTATACTTTAAGAACTCACAATTCAATCTGTTATTCTTACTGGTTAATTATTCATTCCATTATTCTTTCAATACACTGTGCTAGTTCTGATGGATGCAAAGGTGAATGAAACATTGTCTCATGTCTTCATTCTCAGTCAGTGTGCTATCTTCAGTTAGATTTTGGAACTGAAATGAACTTTGCCAAAGGGTAAACTGGTCAATGACTTCTTTGTTATAAAAAGCCATCTAAAATATTTGCTGATATCCTGATTTACTTGAAAGGATTGTCACTTATCATGGGTTTTATTTCCATTTATGATGAAGGGCTTCCTCTTAGACCTTTGTCACTGAATCCTGGGTCCATGTCACTCACAGCTAACGTGGTCCAGATCTTTTCTGCCTGGGTAGGAGAAGCCTAGCAAAAGGGCAGTTTGTCCTTTCTCCCTTGAGCACCCTTTGGAAAGGATCATGTGCTGTCTCTATTGGGGATGGCTCTGAGTCACCTACTCAGCAGCTGACATCAGGGACAATCGATGAATCATCGAGTTGGAGACCAGCACGGAGGAAGATGTAGTCACCATCTCCCATCATTCACTTGTCTCATCACCAGAATCGACACTCGTGACCTCTGGGTCTGGCCTAAGTTTGAGGCCCCTAGAAAGAAGTTGCCATAAGTCGTTCCCCAAACTCAGGTGCACATGTGTCAGCCACACAGAGCAGGTACGGTTTCAGATCATCCAGTTGCATGACTTTTCATGCTGGCCAGTTACTGGGGAAAACCCTTAGGACAGCATCACCGGGGTCCTTGACTCATTCCTGATCAGCAGACAATCCCCTGTGGTTGGATTAAAATGCCTCTGACACCCTGAGGTGGCTAACTCACCCTAAACGGCACTCCTGCTTCTTGGCCAGTGACCTTTGAGCCCACTCTCACCTCTTCCTATACTAGTCAGTTACTGCTGCTTTGTCCAGGCCCTCGGCTGAGCCAGTGAGTGCAGAAGGGATGTGGAGGCAGGTGGAAGGACTGAGAAGCACTAAAGCAAAGGGGGAAGCAGAGCCACGTGAGGTTGGTGAGTTCCAGGGTGCAGACTGCCGTGGCCTGCCCTAGCTGTGATCAGCTGTCATTTCCTCTTCGTGTATGACACTGTGGAACATATTAAAATTTCTCTGGGATGGTATGTTTGGAATTCCTCTGATGCCCCACCTCACCAACTTACCCAGACAATAAAAGCAAGGTTGTAAGCCTTTGAACAGCTGGCAGGCTATATATTTCCCCTCTTTCTTTCGCATAATCTAATTCCAAAAAGAATCCAGCTAGACTGGCAGTGCCATGTCTGGGTACTAGTTTCCTGCAAGTCCTTTCTCCACTGCCTCCTCCGCCCTCTCTGGAGTCTTCCTGGGTGGCATGTGGCTTTTCTTTTCTTTTGCTCTCCATCATTCCCACCCCGCCCCTTTTCCCCTGCCTGAGCTCCTTCCATTGTGAGCTTGCTCTGTGCTCTGCCTGTTTTCCAGACAGCCTGATTCCTGTTCCATCCTGGGACAACCGCCTCTGAGGTCTCCCCATCTCCATAGTATTCCCAGGATGTCATTGTTGGCAGCAGCTCCTCGGATCCGATAGGATTGGGGGGCTTTTTGGAGCCCCGAGTCTGAACCCACTCGCAGGGAACAGCAGCCACATGGCTCGGCTGCCCTTTAGGCTGCCCAGAGCCGGGCTGCCGCGACCCGGATTGGCAGGCAGCAGCATACCATCACAGTGACCCGCGCATCTCCGGCGGCGGGCTGGGGGCGGGAGCGCTGTGGGAACGCCTGGGTGCACTTCGACCTACATTAAGAGAAACGCGGCTATTCTCTGTTTGGGGGAGAGACCAGCGACTTGAAACAAAGCTCCCTGGATCTTTGGGCCCTGTCCCGCCCCCTCTCTCCATTCTTCCCACAGTCTGCCCTTCCCGAGGAGAGAGACGGGAAGACAGTACTTTTACTTTGGCCGGCACGGGACTGGATGTCTGCAGGAAACCCCCGTGCTAAACGGAAGAGGGGAGACGTGGACCTTGGGTTGAGCTGAACTCAAAATGCACATGACTGGGAAAATGGGGGAGACTTTCTCCTTCCTTCCATCCTTCCTTCCTTCCCTCCTTCCCTCCTTTCTTCAGCTTCCTCCCTGCCTCCCTCGCTCCCTCCCTTCCTTTTTCCCTTTTTCCTTCCTCCCTTTCTTCCTGCTTAACAGAACACCAGATTGTTCTATGAATTTCAAGTGCAAGGAACGGGACTTCTCCTCTAGACATTTCCATTTAAGAGCCTCGCATAACCCCTCTGTGCAGCATCCTTAAACGATGCTGCTAATGTCCTTGGAACCAAAAGGCATTAAAGAGCAACCTCCAATGCCGCGTCCTATTCCTGTCATTTACCTGGGGGCTTTGCTGGTCTTTTCTGAATTGGGTAAAGTTCATTGAAAGACTCAGAAGGAAAAAAGATGAACACAGCTGAATGAAAATGAGTCTTTTCCTGTTAGCTTGACAAGAGGGGGGAAAAAGAAAGAAAAGAAGGAGAAGAAAGAACTAACTCCTCTCCTCTGCCTCTTCTTGGGTTTTAATATGAATTATTCCATACAAGTCCCTAGGCTAGAGGATCTATTTAAAGACGCCTGGCAGCATGAAGGGAGAGGGTAAAAATACAACTACCCTTTTGTCCATCAAAGGTTTTCTTTGGGAGGACATTAAGTGCATTCCTATTTTCCTCTCTGCCCCTGCCAGTGGCAACCATCCAGCTGGTAGTACCCACTCCTCACCCATCAGATCAGCAACTGTGAACTGTGTTCAAGTGCAGGAGAAGACAAAGGGTGGGGAACCCTTATGAAACGCCAGTGTGTGAGGAGTGGGAGAGGCTGGTTCTGAGAGGCATGCTGGCTTGGCTGGGCAGATCGCATGCTGCGAATTCACATACCCACACGTTTGAGATTTTGAGAAAGATTATGCCGATGGCATTATTTCTGATGCCAGCTGCCTCCACATCTGCACAGCTTTTTCTCATG